TAATTTCTTCTTTATGTAAGTCACTTTTTATCGCCGATGGTTTTAAAATACAGTAAAAGCTCTTTATTCGCGGGGTATACGTTCCATAAATATGCCGCGAATACGGAAACAGTGGATATGGAATGATAATTAGTATGGAATCATAGGGAATATGTTCTAAGGTTCCTAAATAAAACCAATAAGTATTAGAATAAAATAAATTTATTGAGAAATTCGCAATTAATCGTTATAATCAGTTTTAGACAAGGGTTTAAAAAATTTAGTGATTTTTTCATGTTTTGAATTTTAAATTAGTCCACTCGTTTACATTTTTTATAAAAGTCGCGTCAGCACGAGCCAACAGTACTCAAAAGATGCCGATACATTAAGGGGATTCAGTAGTACTTGCGCCGTAGAGAAAAGAACATGCTTATCGGTTCTAAATATCATGAGTTTAATGTTTGGAACAGAGGTTTGAAATTTTGCAGTAAGATAGATAAAGCTTTTTTTTAAAGCCTGTCGAAGGTAATGTTTAAATTATTTAATTTCTATTGAAAATACGTGTCCTACAAGAAGCAACAACTTTAACCACTTTTAAAAGCTTTTAATGACCATATTATTGAGAACTACAACGTACCGAGTTAGTGTGAACCTTTGTCTGTTACCATACAAAAAATCACACTTTTATCTCGCAGCGTTAAATCACAGTGTTGAGAATAGGAACCTATATTTTCAGAAAAATTCAGACTAGGTTCGAGCGGTCTATTGCTGTCGATCTCCTTAATAAATGACACTGAATCCTTTTCTGTTTACCGATTGCATCCGCGAATAATGAAATTTTTAGCTGCAAATACTGGAACTGGATTTCAATTTTTTCACTCGCGAATAATGAAAACGCGAATAAGGAAACCGTGAATAACTAACTTTTACTGTAAATTTACTCGTTTTACAAAAACGACATTGTTGTATCTTCAGTTGTTTTTGCCTACAGTCCTTTAAAAATGTAGACACCCTCAAACTAGTAATTTTTCAGGAGATTCGTGAAATCCTTGCAAAAAAGGGGTTCAGCTAAAAGGATATCGCATGTCTGCTATCTTAACTTATGGGCGAAAATGCGTGCATTTTTGGATCTATTAATTTTTATCTGAATTTATGTTTTACATTTATTTATTGTCTTATTCTTATCGTGGCTAATAGAAATGGCAACTTAAGTCATTGAATGAATGAAGAATAAGTTAAAACTGTATATACATATTCTGCACAAACTAATGTAAAATCGTTGCTGTGTGACCTTATTACAGAGAAGCCTTTTCCCAAGAAGAAATTGAGTGGGGAATTTCCTCAGAAAATTTGAAGACAACAACTCTTGAGAGGCTTTGTCCTGTACCGCCAAAATGTCCTCCTAACGCTCCAATTTATAGACACATTGATGGCTCGTGCAATAACAAACATAGACCGGATGCAGGCATGCCACTAACCACTTACACGCGACTACTTCCGGCAAGTTATGGCGATGGTAAGCAAATCAAAAGATCTTGAGAACACTATTCACTATTGCAACCGAAATATGACAAAATTTTGATTCTCAATAAACTGTTTTGCTTAAAATGTGAAATGCACGACTCATTCTTTAAGAAGTTTGAGTTGTGACAGATCGTGATACGCGTGGGGTACGAATGAGTCTATTACATTTTTCAATTATTCATGCTTAAGGCTTTAAGTTGTAGTAATTAGCATACGCTCATAAAAAAGATAAGTATTTTACACTTTCTACATTAGCGTTATTTTTAATGTTCTTTTTTGCATATCTGTTACTTTTATTTATTATATTTAAAGGCGTGTATACCCCAAGAGTTTCAAAGCATGAAGGCAAGCCTCTACCTAGTGCGAGAGCTGTAAGTTCATCGATATTTGAAGACCACGATAATCCGAACTACAATTTTACGATGATGGTTATGCAGTTTGGACAATTTCTTACTCATGATATTACCCATGGCATCGATAATAGACACGGTATGTAAAAAAATAACAGGTCAAAAGACACTAATATTAAGTAAGTATTTGTGAGACCATTTTTTCTTTAGAGGTAACAGTAGAGAAAACGAAACAAAAAAGAAAGGGCGGCCTGTAGAATTGCTAGAGAAATTTATTTAGGTTTAGGGAATTTAGAGCCAGCTTAAGAAAAGAGGATTTTTATTTAATTTATAATGTCGCGTAATAATACACCTACCCCATTACTACTATTTTGTTTTTTCTAATTAATTTTTAAAAATACTATTAGTGATTAATAACTCGTTCAGTATTATATGGCCCACTGAATAGTTTCTGTGCTCTTCTTATTTCGCTTTCTATCGCCTTATAACTGGAATTACAAAACTGACTTGTTCCATTCGAAAAAAACTTTAAATTTTTGTGTTTCATTGCCATCAGATACTAATAGTGATGGGTGTGTAGGAATGAGTGGAAGGTGGTTGGGGGTGAGAAAGATGAGGCGGACGAAATGAAGACAGAAGAAAATAAATTATTATTTGTGGAATATTACTGCAAAGTGATCCAAGAAAACGACAGAAAAAGTTTGACCAGGAGATGCATTGAACTGGAGTCCTCTCGAATGCTAAGCAATGCTCTAACCCTTAGGTCATGCCGCTCAGTTCTCTTCCGAGCTTGCAGTAATTATTTTTAGGCGCTGGACTTATTCTTTTAACTACAGCTAGTGACTCTACAAGGGTCACACAACAATGTCGTTCTTGTCAAGAGAGTGTTTCACAAAAGTACCCGACGACTTTTTCTTTTCTGTCTTGTACTTGAGATAACACATCACCATCTACATTCCTAGTGTCGACATTAGTGATGAAGGGCTCGCTGAATTGCGGGTTTATCAAAATTAGGGCTGCAGAAAATATAATCTTTAAGTTTTCAAATGCTTCTTAGTATTCAACTGTTCATCGCAGTGAAACTCCACCTTTTGTAAATCTATGCAGTGGTTGAACTATATTGAAAAATCTCCTTAGGAACCTAGATAAGAAACCTTCTCCTTCATTTACTTTCAATTTTACCCCTTCCACGTCTACTCTGACGCCAAGGCGATCAGTTGTTGTCGGTTACCTTTGACAGATGTGACCGTCAGTCATCACTTATGGCTTCGCAAATTGCCCCGGATTTTTCGCTCCTTCTGCGGGTGATCTACCCTAAACAGGCCTTATTACCCAGCTACTACTGACATTTGATAATGAGTATTCCGCTTATTTCACTAAAGTTGGCGTTGTACTGCCGCTATAGTTTGTCCGCCACCAGATCTCTGTACTGCCAATGCAGTAGTTGTGTCATAATTTTTTAGTATCAAAAAAAAAACGCGGTCGGAATCGGGATCGATCAAGGCAAAATACCCGTCGTTGTTGGTTGACCAACGTATTAACAGTCACTTAGGGAGTATTAAGTGTTACGGTAATAGAGATCTGTTTAGTTAGGTAACAGTGGGGAGGGGGGGGGAAATTTTCCTTACTTAATAATGACAACTTCTAATTAAAAATTAACCACATTCAGAGCTTTTCGTAAAAGTTAATCAGTAGTCCCAAAAAAAAAATAGACGGATCGCTTTCCATGTATTTGCAATTTAGTAAAGGTAACCCAGACTCATCAATAAATGATTTTTGAATGGTACGGTGCTATTTATTATACATCCAGCGATTATTTCATTTATACTTAAACCAATTCAAAAATTAGTTTACAAGTGCTTAGAATCACTGTAATTCAAACTCCTTAAAATACAAGGGTTTGGTAAATGAATTATTTTAATAAATGACTGATTGACGGATTTAAAAATTCTCCTCTCAGTAATATATATTTATGTCTAGTTGTGAAAGTATTTTTTCTCTTTAGAGAATGGAGAAGCAATATCCTNGAAGGATTATCTTATTCTTATGATTACGATCACAAGTTGTGAAACTATTTTTTCTCTTTAGAGAATGGAGAAGCAATATCCTGTTGTCTTAAGGAAGGTAGCGGAGAAATACCTGTTGATGACAGACATCCAGCATGCATGCCGATTGAGATTCCAAAGGAGGATCCATTCTATTGGTACTTTGAACAACGTTGCATGAATTTTGTTAGGTCTGTTATAGCGCCAAGACATGACTGTACACTTGGATATGCGGAACAGGTAACCAAGATAAATTAATTCTTTTAAAATGGTCTTCCTTTATTATTATTTCCTAATATGGGGTCCGGACAGGAAGTCTTTTGTTTAAAATAATTCGAAGTGGTCTGTATTCTGTCAAAACTGCCAGACGCGGATCACGATTTCGATCTTTTTGGATCTCATCAGCGAGTTGCAGACAGCTCCGACAGAACACAGACCAACTTTTACCTGCTATCTTAACAGCGCGTTTTAAAAAATACCACAAATGGCGCGGTAAACACCATCTGTAGTACGATGCTACATTTTAGGATTACGTATGCTCCAACAAGGTCCATTTAAATATATGGATATCTACTTGCTGATACGAATCCCGACGTAGCTAATATCAACGTGATAGGCACGTTATCATAATCGAATAATATAATTCGATGAGATCCAAAAAGATCGAAATCGCATATATTTAAATGGACCTTGTTGGAGCATACGTAATTCTAAAATGTAGTATCGTACTACAGATGGCGTTTACCGCGCCATTTGTGGTATTTTCTAAAACGCAGTAGCTAAAAGTATTTTAATACACTCTAACTTTAATAAATTTTTTCAAATATTACACTGTTATTTCAAAAAATGATAGAAATATAATGCAATCTGGAGAGGAGCCCCATATAAGGTGACTTTCCTGTACTAAAATATGCACATCGAAGAGTTTTTTTAAGGTCTACATTCCTGTAAACAAAAAGAAGAGCATGACCATGATATCACTTATTTCGTGATCTAACAAGATTATGGTACGAAAAGTGCTGTCGTGGTCAAGCTCTTTCTTTTGTCTACAGAAATGTGGTCCATCTATTCCATGAAATACCTATGCAAATGAAATAATTCTCTATTTCATGAGATGTTCGTTGCTTATTTCATGAATTAACAAAATTTTGCTAGGTACCTACAAGTAATAAGATACACACAAATATAGAATAATAACTAAGCAAGTTCAAATTGTATTTGATTTATGTTCTGATTTTAGATGAATAAAGTTACACATTACTTAGACGGTTCAGTCATATACGGGTCAAATCCTGCAGAAACCAATAAGCTAAGAAGTCATCATGGAGGTAAACTGAAAATCTTCGACGACTTCGGAAGGGATTTACTACCAACCGATGCAGAGAGTGATGCGTGCGTGGGGTCTGACGATGGCTCAGCATGTTTCTTTGCAGGTTTGTATAAAAGGTATAAAATTAGTCAAACAAAAAGCACGATCAGTAGCCGTTGAGTCAGGAACTATTTATACTTCAGGTTTCAGGCTTACGAGTACCGAGCGGCATGGTCTAGTGGTTTAGAGAATTGCTTAGCATTCGGGCGGTCCGTCGGTGGTCCATCTGCCTTGGTCCAAGTTTTTCTGTGGTTTCCTTGGGTCACTTAGGCAAACGCTGGGGCAATAGTATTCCACAGATAATCTTTAATTCTCTTCTGTCTTCATTTCGTCCGTCTCATATTTCTCACCCGAACCACCACCCATCCATTCCCACGATTCCTGAAAGGAGGCTGAAGAGGGCCTTCCGCCCTACCTTCCGGCGTAGTCCGGAGGGACTCCCCGCCCACCAGCATTAATGGATGGCGGGAGAATGAGACACCCAAAAGTTTTTCTTTTTGGCTTGCGAGTTTTATTTTCGTGGGCTTTACAATTCATTTTTTCAAGATAGACCCGACGAGACGGTCTTACAAGAAGTCTTAAAACTTTTGCGTCTTTTATTTCCATGGGTGGGTGGTTTTGCCGACTAACAATTTAATGCAAGGAGGGATGAGGAAAGGTCTTCTTCAGCATTCTTGTAAGAGTCGTGAGAATAGATGGGTGGTAGGTAGGAAAAGAAAGAAGAGACTGACGAAATGAAGACAGAAGAGAAATGAAAAATTATCTGTTAGAGTTAGCCATTAATGCCTGGGTGACCAATCAAACGCTAATAGGCAGTGGTCTAATTAGTAGCTCATATTCTGGAAGCTGAACTACCATGCGTTGCGTTTCTTGAGTGAAAAGTGTAATTTCCTTTTACTGTGCTAGTGTTGCAACATTAAAGCATTTTAATTGTTTTTTGATAGCATCACAAGGTTTCCAGTCTCAAAACTGGTTGGAAAGGTTGGCTTATGATAGGAGTCTTTGGACTGGAAACCTTATGATAACAAATTCATATTCTGGATCTCAGTCGTATCGATTGATTAAAAAGTATCGTTTGCAGGTAATATGCTTATAAATAATTTGGAAATATTTTTTCCAGGAGACACCAGAGTGAACCAAATGATCGCGTTAGTTGCAGTTCATCTTCTTTTCCATAGGGAACACAATCGCGTCGCTGAAGAACTTGCATACTTAAATTCGGATTGGGATGATGAAAAGTTATTCCTAGAAGCACGACGTATAGTAATTGCCGAATTTCAGGTTATAACCTACAAGGAGTTTTTACCAGCTGTTATTGGTAAATATAATTTATTTCTTTCGAAAATAGTTAATGTTACCTATATTCTTGTCAAAATTTAGACATTATACATTTTTATAGAGTTAATATTATGCCTAATTAACAAATTCATTTCAAGGACATGAAAGTATGGAGGAATTTGGCTTATATTTGCAAGAAGGATTATCTTATTCTTATGATTACGATCACAAGGTAGACGTTTCGATATCGAATGAATTTGCTTCTGCAGCTTTCAGATATGGGCATTCAATAGTTGAAGGATACTTAAAGTAAGTAAATTTCGTATTTACTACAGATAAAAAGATATATAGCTTTTTATTGCATTGTAATTATGTTTGTTATGAGAAAGTTGGAGTTCTTGTCACAATTTATTATCATCATCATCATCCTTATAATTTCATCAAATTGAATGGCTGGATACGGTGCTCATTCCTATCTTATGCTAATTTTCCTGTTTCCCAAAAGCTAAAAAATCCCCATATATATCTAACTATTTGCGAACAGTAATATAATCTATTTCTACCTCTCCTCCGCTCTTAACTGCTGTTTGTTCTTCTATTAGGTCTCTAACGAGCCCTTCATGTCATTCCGGAGGACGCCGGTTCGATTCCGGGTCCGTCTGCCTTGGTCCAAATTTTTCTGTGGTTTTCTTGGATCACTTAGGGAAATGCTGGGGCAGTAATATGCCACAGGAAATCTTTCATGCTCTTTTGTCTTCATTTCGTCAGTCTCATCTTTCTCACCCGAACCATCACTTACTCATTATCACGATTCCTGAAAGGAGGCTTAAGAGGGCCTTCCGCCTTATCTTCCAGCGTAGTCCGGAGGGGCTGCCTACCCACCAACATTAGTGACTAGTGGGAATGAAGCATCCAAAAGTTTTTTGTAGTGAAACTTCTTTGGGCTCGATGAGAGTAAAATCTCAAGGCCATGAAACGACACGTTTTGCACGTTTCGTTTCGCGAAGCGATAGGCTATGTCAATAGAAAAACGCGCATGCGCATTTCGATATTACAGTCAGCTGTTGGTGATCGGCATCTCATATATTATAGTATAATGTATCTTCACTACACTATAGTGCTAAATTAATTTTTTGGTTACATCTGTGCAGTTATATGACAATAACTGTATTACAGTAAATGTTTATGAATATTATGTATTAATTGTAATTCTTTGTAGTTATTGATAGTTTACGGTTTCTTAAGCATTTGGAAAAATAAACAGAAGCGAAAAAAATTTGACCATTTTTTGTTATTAAATTACATAAAAACGTATTAAAGTAATACTCCTTAGGTGGACTAAAGAAAACATAAATCCTGAAAATTCTCTTTCACCAATCATTACTTATTCGTTATAAAGGTATAGAAATCGCCAAAGAAGTTTCACTTCTTTCACGTGTACTCAGTTGCACGTGTTGTTTTTTTTTTTAGCTTTTTATGTCTCTGAAGTTGTCCTACCATCGCACTTCTCTGTTTCCTTACTGATTTCCGTAGTGCTCTATACTCTTTCACTTTTTCCAATGCATTTGTAACCTTTTCTATACACGGTACTATCATCATTTACTTATAACAGCAGTTTTTCTCGACAACGTTGAATTTCTTCTTTGAGGTTTACTAAATTTCAGTTCGTGACCACGTGCACCTCTATAAAAAAAGATGACTAGGTGTCAAGTCGTAAAATCGAGGTGGGAAGGTTTGGTCTTTTCGCAGAACTTTTGTTTCTTCCGATGTGTGGCAAGTTGTGCTGTCTATTGGAACCATGATTTCTCCACGTTCATTTTATCCAAACGGGTTAATGGAAATCAGTGAGCATCGCACGGTAGCGTGTGACAACATTTCCTTTTTCTTTTACAAAAAACTAAGGATCGGTTTAACTTCCACTCAAATTTCTTTATTAGACTACGAAAAGTGGATTCATTTGGTGCATAGTAAAGTTCAAGAATTGTACGGTTTCCAAGTAGTCACCATTCTGGTATTGAGTTTTCACCATCAAAATTCATTGTTTCTCACTGTAAATTTCCATGACGATACTACCTAAACAAGTACCAAGAGTAACAGAACTGTATAAACACTTAATTATAACAGACGACTGAAAATGCAAGTTGCCAACAAACGTTAATAAAGATGACGGGCTTTTCAAATCCAGCGTTCTTTTTGAATCACCCTTTATATTAATTTTTTTATATTTCATCAATTTTAGAATTTATGGGATGAAACGAATGTCGGAAATTATAGATCTTCCTGAAATAATGTTCAATCCAAGCAGAATGAGAAAAGTTGAATTTTTTGATCAAATTTTGAGTACACTAACAACCGAACCAATACAGGAAGTTGATAACTCTATTTCAGAAAGTGTAAGTGGCTTATTTTATTTTTTACGTAGTAGTACGCTATTGTTTATATGTATGTACAGGCTTTTCATTGTTTTTTATGTTCAACTGACCCCAAAATATGACAAAACCGCGGAATTTTCTATTTCAAGAGCTGGGTTTTTGAGATCTAAGTAAAAAGGCCCACTGTTCACATTTTTGAATTTTTTCGAAAACTATACATTTTTATACTCTATATTCGTCAATAGAGAATTATATTTTCAAACAAAATATCACCCTCAGAAGGCCAAAAAGAATACGACCAAGAAACGAAACTTTACTTGCACGTATATTCAACTGTATTTCACTAACACTGTAACAGCATGATATACCGAGTTTCTTACGTAATTAGGCTTTTCCCTAAACTCAAAAATTATTACAGAATATTACAATCGACGCATAGTAATTCAATTCTACCTTCATTGGTGAGGTAATATACAGGGTGTCCCACTTGAAGAAAAATAACTTAAGTTTGCTCGAAGTTTTATAAGTTGGACACAACACATTTTCAAGACCCTATATACATTTACGATACTAAGAGCACAATACCAGATAGAGATGGGTACAAGATAGCTGATCACTCAATATGGCTACGACAGATTCAAAATTAATAGAATAATACGTTATTCAACATGTGAATGCAATTTTCAAAATTTTCAGAAGAATCGAAATATCTCGAAAACTACTAATTTTTCAGATAGAGTTGTATGATCAAAGTCGATTTATGAGTTTATAAATGTCATAAAAATTATAGCATTCTATTTAAAATAAGGTAGTTGAGATGATGCTCTGGTACAAAATTGCCATTCTGGATTTTGGTCCGGAGATCCTGGTGGGCGTCGTCTGGAATGCGTTACTCCCTTCTGAATGTTAGCTGAGCCGGCGTGAACCGGTGGTACTGCAGTGGGCGGTGTTTAGAATACTAGGAAGCACTTCGTCCCATTGAGCAAACTCATCAAAATCGTCCGGGGTCGCAATCGCGAGTTGCGTTTTTTGATTTCGGTTCCTCCGCTCTACGGGATTGGCAGCTGCGTGATACACGGGGGTCAGACATTGTGTGATCCCCAGGGGGTGAGCCAATTGCTGCATCACCCCCCTAACGAATTGTGTACCATCGTCACTGATCATTCTTCTCGGAGTTCCATACCCAGGGCTAGTCTCGTCCAGGATGATCAGGGCATAAGCTTCTGCGGTGGCAATGGTTATCTCTTCTCATCCCGTTCCAAAAATACCGGGAGGCGATACGTTACCAGGTACGGTCCACTATGTAATGACCGGCTGTGGGGTCGTCATAATATTTTCGCAAAATATCCATTCTTTCCTGGATTGGTTCCACTAACTGGGGCTCTTTAGCGTCCATATCGGGAGTATATCGGTATAGTACCCCTTGGGATATTAGGTAACCGAGGTGCGAGGTGTCTGCTTATTTCGGGCTCGCTAACTTGGATGAAAGCTTCCAAGATTCGACATGGATCGGGATCTTGAAGTTGGCCTTCCCGAACGAACTCGCTGGAAATTCCACTGTTGACCGGACATGAAGCCATTTTTTCGTCTTCTTCGAATACTGGAGGTTTCGACAGTTCATTGGCGATGACGTTTGCCTTGTTCACAATCAACAACTAAGTTGTACGGCTGTAGTTGTAAGACCCAACGAGCCAACCTTCCGGAAGGGGTTTTGAGTTTATTAACCACTTTAAAGGTTGGTGGTCGGTGACTACTACTACTGACGACTCCTTGATGTAGCCGCGAAATTTAGAAACGGCCCAGACGATTGCAAGGGCTTCTCGTTTCGGAATTCTCCCTGCAATATGGCTGCCCCCTAGGCATGTCGACTTGTATCTGTCCGTAAGGTGAATGACTGTGTAAGGTCTGCTTGCCGTAAGATTGGTGACGTTGTTAGCCGCTTCTTGAGGGTATCAAAGGCGCGTTATTGTTGTGTTGACCATTCTCAGGCGGCATCCTTCTTTGGCTGAGAGGGCGGGCGATACCCACAAAACCTTTAATGAACCGGCGGTACCATGAGCAGGTTTGTAGGAATCCCTGCAGCTGTTTCAGGTTTCAGGGCGACGGTAGAGAACGGTTTGCTGAGACCTTACTGGTATTACTGTGACTGCCTTGCTGTATAAGGATATGCCCCAAGTATCGTATCTCTGGACAACAAAATCGGCATTTTGGACGACTCGTGGGCAGGTGGAATTCTTGCATCCGCGCAAAAACATTTCTTAGGTCCTTCAGGTGCCGTGAGAAGGTTAGAGATAGTAAAATGAGGTCGTTTATATAAGCCAACAGTTCGATGTATTGTAATCCACTCTTAAACATGTTAATTAGTTGCATAAATGTAGCCGGAGCATTTTTCAAGCCAAACGACATTCTTCTGAGCTAGTAAAGCCCAAAAGGAGTCACAAATGCGATTTTCCGCTGGTATTATCTAGTGGCCGTGTTCTGCCAATACCCTGCCTTAAGGTCCATAGACGACATATAAGGAGTCCGGATGGTCTGTTGCAGTAGGTAGTCTATGCGCGGCAGCGGAAATGTGTCCGTCTCAGTTATTAACCCACGGTAGTCGATACATAAACAGGTGCTGCCGTCGAGTCTGGGCATTATTATCACATTCTTCGATTATGCCGCTCCGCAGTATCTCTTCCACTTCTTTCCGTAGCTTAGCCATTTTTGAGGGAGTTAGCCGATACGGTGGGTGAACGACTTGCAGCGTCGGCAGTCCGTGATCAGCGAATAGATTTGCATGGTTTATGATGAAAGTTTCCAATGCCTTTTGGTCACTTTGTTGCAGATTCGGGGCCTTGTCCTCCCGGAGGACGAGATCTAGGCTAACGATCCACACTATCTTCCGTGGAGAATTCGGAAACAACTGCTTACGGGCGGTGTTGCTTTCCGACTGCCGGTGAATTTGAATTTGGGCTTCGCGTCAGATGAATTTGGTCCTCCTGGTTTCTCCTTTGGGGAAAGGTCCACGACTGTGTGAAACCAAGCGAAAGGCCGGTCGTTGTCTAGTTCTTCGGTAGCTTCGGTAACGCTCACAGAACAGGTCCGCACTAGGGGTTTGTTGATTTAGAGCTGGGAGGTGGTTCGAGCTTAGTGCGTCAAGTACGATAGGATCGGTGGAAAGTGTAGCATTTTTTGTGATGAAAATGTCAAGGATGTCAGGGAATTAATTGTGGGGGGCAGGGAGGAACGTGGGATCAGAGGGTGCTTCAACTGGTTGAAGTCGAGAACTTTGGCAAGAAGGAAGGGACCTTTACTGTTGGTTTGTCGACAGCCCTAGGAAATGTGTTTAGCGTTGAAATCGTCTGCGGCGATAGTTGAAACGCCTGGGGGGAGGCGAAGGGGGAGTTCAGGAAGGAGTATGTCCGAAAGGGTGGAGTATAGAGAGATAATCCTAAGAGGGCTGGATGTTAGTGAGACTTCGATGCTGACTGCTTCTAAGGAATTTGTGGCCAAAGAGATAGGTCCGTGCTTTAAAGAGTTCCTAACAAGAATGGTCACGGCGCCGGCACCGCCGTTTTCACGGTCCCTTCTGTAGGATGAGAAGTTTGGGACGAAAAGTTTGATTTTTTCTGACAAATGAGTTTCGGCGGTACAAGCAACAGCAATTGACTTATGCTTAAGGAAGCGTTCGAGTTCAGTCAATTTACCTCTAACGCTTTGTGCATTCCAGGTAACTAAACGAAGATTATGTGAGTGGGTTGTATTACACATTGGAGGGCGTTTGTAGGACGGCGACAAGACTTGCTACTATCGTTTGAACGAGGGCCTGAATTCTCTGTGCGAGAGATGAAGCTGCAGGGGTGTTTGGGAACGCATTGCGTTTTTGAGAGGGAGGGGGGAGCGCCTGTCACTGCCCTGGCGTAGGAATTTTGGAGGAGCGTCTTTCTGGGGAGGACTGTTGAACGGGGCGCTGGTTGCATGTTCTTTTGAGTGTTAGCGGGTATTGTAGATTTGGGGGGGGGGGG